TTGCGATATTACAACATTGGACAACATAACTGTAGTAGTATTAGTGTTACCAAAGGTGTATTTTGTAATAGTGTATTCTTGGGAATTGAGGAAAGTGGTGGATATATTCATAAATGTAACAGAGCTTACAAATGTGAAGATGATGACTACAAATTAGTTAAGTAAGAGAAATTAAAACTCCTTGAAAGATAATCCGAAAATGAAAATCAAGGAATTCAAGGAAAAAGTCCAAAGGAAATGGAATGTTAATGTAAACAAGACTAAGGTAGTTAAAGATATCTGTGTAGGTAGAGGAATGATTGATGGTTCCTTCTTAAAATAAAACCGGGTTCAACAGTTAAGGGGAATGTTCAACATGTTCCAAATAATGTAGTTGACAAGAGGTCTCGTTTTCAGAGATTATACATTTGTTATGCAAAAGGAGAGTATTAAAATATGCAGACCTATCATTGAAATTAATGGATATTTTTTAAAGGGCCTATGTGGAGGAGAAATATTGGCAACCATAGGAAAAGATCCAAATAATCAAATGATGTCAATAGCCTTTCTAATTGTTGAAAGTGAAACAAAGGACAGTTGGGCATGGTTTTTGGAACTACTCATTGATGATCTTGGAGGTAGAAGTTAATGTCGTACTTATACATTCATATCAAATCAAAAAAAGGTATTTGTCTGTTATTTAAGTATGCTTTATTTATGTTGTTTATGATGTTTTGTTAATGGATTTGTTTGTATTTATTGGTAGGGTCTTTTTACGACTATGGATGAGCTTTTACCTGGTGTGGAACAAAGGTTATGTGTACTCCATATGTACAATAACTTTAGGAAAAAGTTTTTTATAAATAAAATTAAAAAAAGATTATATGGAAAGCTGTTAAGTTAACATATCCACAAGATTTTGAAATGGATATGAGAGACATGAAAAGTGTTAATGAGGAATCCTTTAAGCATATGATAAAGGCACCTCCTAAGATTTGGAGTAAATCTTAGTTTAAGACAAACATTAAGTGAGATAGCTTGTTGAACAACATGTCAGAGGCCTTTAGTACTGTTATTATTGAACCAAGAGATATGCCAATAGTGACTATGCTAGAAGACATCAGAACATATATGATGGAAAGGTGGGCATCAAATAAAATGAATTTGGAAGCTATATTAATGATGCTATCTTGTCTAACTTAGCAAGAGGTAATATATTACTAGTTTTTTGTTTCTATTTTACATAATTTGTTTTGGTAATATATTCACTAACGTCCATGTGTACTTTTTGATGATTAGGATTGAGAGAGTTAGTGGATACACAAACTTGTGGATTGTTAGATATAATAATTTGTATTCACTTATCTATTGTTAGGTATAAGTCTCTTTACACTACAAGAAAACTTTGTTTTAGCGTCAATTCTGTGTCAGGGTCGGGTGGACGCCTCTAGCCTAGAAGATAACAATAGTGTTCAATCAACGCTACCTATCATCGACTTATAATAATGATATGGTGAAGGTAATGCATGATTGAAAAGCCGCCACTATTTAGGCAGCGTGAATACATTTTATGTTAGCTTCAACTTTCATCCCTGCTAATAAGTCCTTAGTGGCAGCCTTGTGAGACGTGAATTTGTTATATGTATTATGTAGCATCGGCCTTTTAAGACACAAAATTGTTGTAAGTATTTAGTAGCTTCAGCTCCTTAAGACGTAACATTGTTTATGCATTTTCCTTAGCTTCAACCAAAGCCAATGCTAGGTAATTAAGTAGCATTAGCCTTAGAAGATGTTATGTATCTTATATGTATAAAAGGCAGTGGCAACTTTGGCTGACGCTTACTGTAATTTTTTTAAAAGTTCTTTTTAGGATTTATCAGGGACCTGTTTAGAAATCTATTTTTAGATAATACGAATCTGGAGTCATTCATACAATACAAATTCATTCATAACTATATGCAACAATGAGACAATGAGATTTGAGCAACAACACTATAAGTTGACTGTAACAAATGTCCAGTTGTAGATACATTACTGATTTCTTTCTCTTATTCCCATATCATAAAAAGGGAATGTCAAAAGTTGCTAATGTTTAGCTTAATTTTAAGCATTGCATATAATCAAAGCTAAACGAAATAACAATTAAGTGTAATAATGAACCTCTTTCACCATATTTAAACTAAAGCCATGAATTTCCTACATAAAATTTTCAAAAATGTAACCAAGAGAAATATATAATAAAAAGACACCAAAAATCATAATTTTTTTTTCAAAACACATAAGCAAAAGAGAAATTAAAATAAGAAAAAGAAGTTCATAAGCAAAAGAGAAATTAAAATAAGAAAAAGAAGTTCATAATCCATATACATATCATTATTACTAAGAAGAATGCTTCATTCTTCTTCTCAATTACTTAAATTTAGCACCTGTCTAACATTTTTCAAAACCCATCCTTAAAAATAAATATAAGTGATCGGTAAAATATCAAGTGTACTATTTTGCCAATGTAGTAATAAAGGGAATTTCCCCAAATGTCGATCTCAAGGACTGCTTGACGATATAGAATTCTAGTTTTATTTTAGTTAAACAAAAGCTCTAGGGTTTTAAAAAGGTTTTTGTTTAATTATAAAAATATTTTCAAGGAAAAGAGAAAATTGACTAATTGACTTAAACAAATATGAGTAACCGTTAGGGAAGGTGTAGATCTGACTCATTAACAATTCTGAATTAACATGCAACGACTTATTGTAACTACTTAATTACCGATTCTTTAGAATGTTTACCCCTAAGTCCTTAGTGAGAAAAAATTTAATCATCTACCCTAATTCCTACGTCCATAAAGAATTATAAGTGAGATTAAGCAATCAATTATCAAGAATTATTTTAGTTCCTATAGGGTATCCCTAGTCCTAGGTGATATCTACTATAAGATGATCAAACGCAAAGCCTTAACAATGGCGGTCCAGCCTAATCATTAATCATAAATCAAACCCTGTTGGTCCGATAGAGCAAGCATTAAGAACATCTAGAGATCAAATCAGTTATGAAAACAAAGGAAATGTCAGTGCAATAATAATATCAGAGTCATTACAAATTCAAATCAGGGATACCCCTTAACATTGGGGGTTTAGCTACTCATAATATTCAAAGAAAACACAAAATAAAAACTAGACATTACAAGATAAGAGGGTTATTGGATCTTCAATGACTTCCGCTCATAAAAACCTTCAGTTCCCCCAATCACCTTGATCTCTCTAATCCTGATAGTGCAATTCTTCTCTGGCCAAAAAGTCGTGTTTTCCTTCTCAAAATCTGTCTTAAATACTCCCAGGTCCAACACGGTAATAGAAAAATAACCAAAATACCCATAGGGATCACAAAGGCCCAAAAAATCAGAAAATTGGAAGATGAAGCGCGTCAGCCAACACGGACTGTGTCAGATGACACGGGCGGCCGTGTTGGCTCCCTGTCTATCTGGAATCAACCTTTTTTGTTCCAGGCATGTTGACACGGTCGTGTCAGCCCCTTGGAATCTCCCTTTTTGTTCCAGGCATGCTGACACGGCCGTGCCAGCCCCCTGGAATCTCTTTCTTGCATCTTTTCTTGGTCACGCATATCCTATTGACACGGCCCGTGTCAGGCAACACGGGTGGTCGTGTCAGGCCTTTTGTAGCTTGCCAATTTCACTCCCGAACTTACTGTATTGTCCACTTTTTCGCTCCGATTCTTCCTTATTGCTTACCTGAACCTAAAAATAATGGAAATATCAAACCAACGCATAAAATGCGATAAAAGAAAATAAAATGCAACTAAACGTATACAAATATTAACTCAAACTGTCAGTAAAATAACGCATAAAAACCACTGATCAAACTCCCCCAAACTTAAATTGTTGTTTGACCTCAAGCAACAAGCTTGGATAGACATTTTTTAGATCAAACATTATATATCAAATGAAAGACTTATGAATGTAAGGTGTGCTGATACTCATATGTTAGCCTTTGTTCTGATCGGCTAAAACTAGTTCTCTTGGTAATCGTCCATTAATGAAGGTATTAAATAAACACACACCGCGGTAACACCACGGACCTAAATCCCCATTTCGGCCACCTCTCCAACTATGCTTTGGGTTTAAGTCTTTTCTTCGATTTTTTACCCCTTTCATTCGGATAATAAGATTAAGGCATTTTTTATCGCTTGCCCTCACATGTACAAAATTTGATCGAGACTTTTTCGTGGCACCTTAATTCTTTTTTCTCGCGCATTGGCGTTTATTAGTCCCCTTTGGGACGACTATAGAGATTCAACCGCCGTTAGGCTAAGTAACCGGGTGAGGGTTATCCAACTTATAAGGATTAGTTGTCTTTACCGTCATTATTCATAATTTTTTTTAGTGCCACAAGTCATTCTCTCAATCAATTATATATATGCAATTCTCTTTAATCACGTCGGACTATCATTATGAACTAGTCGGGGAATACTTCACAAATCCAAGTACTATGGCACAAATCTACACGTTGGACTCATTTCCTTACTCTGAGGAATCTAGGGTGTTCAGGTTATACCTCAATTTCCAAACTTTCCCAAATTCCCTAGTTTTAACTCCTCTTCCCTCAAACTCTATATACATTCCTGACTATCTCACACATCACAGTATTCACAAGAAAAAAAATTTACGGTCTTCATTCGGGGAGAGTTCAAAGTGATTTTTAAACAACAGAACCCAAACACAATGAAAAGTTACTTAAAATGAAAACTCAAAACAGTAAAAACTCCCCCAAACTTGAACTAAACATTGTCCTCAATATTTTAGAACATGAGTGGGAAAGATATACTCACAGAGGTCCTTACTGAGGAACTGGAGGATAATGCAACACTCTAACTTGCCCTTGTAAGATCTTGTTTATTACCTGCAATCAAAGTAAAATAACAAAAAAAGAAAATGCAAAATAATTAAAAACGTGGGTTGCCTCCCACGCAACGCTTCGTTTAACTCGCATGGCTCGACAAATCACTCTCTATTAAGATGGCATATATGAAACAAAGAACACATCATCTTTTTTCTTTATTTTGTTTGGTAGCAATCCCATGAACTTGAGGTATTGATGATGTTGCTTCCACGTCATCTTCAGTGGTATTTTTGTGAACAAGGCATAAATGAAATCCAATACTTTGTCAATTTCTTGTCTTTCATCCGCCTTGTTGAAATAATTCTTAGGGATACTATTGTTTTGAAGATTTTCTTGTCGAATATCTACATCTATACAACTTTTTACATCTGTATTTTCATCCAACACTAGATCATCTTCAAGTTGCCTGCTTTCTTCTTCCCCATATTTCTTGTTTACCTCAGATTCTTCTAATGCATCTTCTTCTTCATCTGACGTTATGCTTTGCTCTTCTTCTTTCACACATTCTTCTTCCAACCTAAACTCCCACCAAATAAGTTTATCTGGATAAAAGTTAGCTTCCTTACATTCATTCATAAGGACTCTTACCTCCCTCCGATATGCTTTAAATATTTTGGTCGCCTCTTCCAAAGTGATTCCCAAATCAGGGGACCAACATGCAGGAGATACAGGTGGAAATGTATAAAAAATATTCATAACTACACAACTCAGAAACTTTATTAGTCGCACAGTATAGACGAATTCATGATGCAACAATAATCTAATTTTTTTTAAATAAAATAAAAATAAATTTTAGTTGCGAAGCAACAAATTTTAATTAAAATAAAACTATAAAATCTATGATCTTTAGCAGTCCCCAGCAACAGCGCCAAAAACTTGATCGGTAAAATAATAAGTGTATTAGTTTGCCAATATAGTAATAAAGGGGATTTCCCCAAATGTTGATCTCAAGGACTGCTTGACGATATAAAGCTCTGATTTTATTTTAGTTAAACAAAAGCTTTAGGGTTTTAAAAAGGTTTTTGTTTAATTATAAAAATATTTTCAAGGAAAAGGGAAAATTTACTAATTGATTTAAACAAATATGAGTAACCTGCTAGAGAAGGTGTATGATCTGACTCAGTAATAACTCTGAATTAACATGCAACGACTTATTGTAACTACTTAATTACCGGTTCTTTAGAATGTTTACCCCTAAGTCCTTAGTGAGAAAACCTTTAATCATCTACCCTAATTCCTACGTCCATAGAGAATTATAAGTGAGATTAAGCAATCAATTATCAAGAATTATTTCGGTTCCTATAGGGTATCCCTAGTCCTAGGTGATATCTACTATAGGATGATCAAAAGCAAAGCCTTAACAACGGCGGTCCAGCCTAATCATTAATCGTAAATCAAACCATGTTGGTCCGACAGGGCAAGCATTAAGAACAGCTAGAGATTAAATCAGTTATGAAAACAAAGGAAATGTTAGTGCAATAATAATATCAGAGTCATTACAGATTCAAATCAGGTACACCCCCTAGCATTGGGGGTTTAGCTACTCATAATATTCATAGAAAACACAAAATAAAAATTGGACATTACAATATAAGAGGGTTCTTGGATCTTCAATGACTTCCGCTCATAAAAACCTTCAGTTCCCCAATCACCTTGATCTCTCTAATCTTGATAGTGCAATTCTTCTCTGGCTAAAAAGTTGTGTTTTCCTTCTCAAAGTATGTCTTAAATACTCCCAGGTCCAACACAGTAATAAGAAAATATTGAAAATACCCATAGGGATCACAAAGGCCCAAAAAATCAGAAAATTGGAAGATGAAGCGCATCAGCCAACACAGATCATGTCAGCTGACACGGGCGGCTGTGTTGGCTCCCTGTCTATCTGGAATCAACCTTTTCTGTTCCAGGCATGCTGACCTGGTCGGCCGTGTCATCCCCCTAGAATCTCCCTTTCTATTATAGGCATGCTAACATGGTCGTGTCAGCCCCCTAAGATCTCTTCCTTGCATCTTTTGTTGGTCACGCATATCCTCCTGACACGGCCCATGTTAGGCAACACGGGTGGCCGTGTCAGGCCTTCTGTAGCTTACCAGTTCCACTCCCGAACATACTGTATTGTCCACTTTTTTGCTCTGATTGCTTACCTGAACCTAAAAACAATGGAAATACCAAACCAACGCATAAAATGCGATAAAATAAAATAAAATGCAACTAAATATATAAGAAGATTAACTCAAACTATCGGTAAAATAACGCATAAAAACCACTTATCAACAAGCACATATTGTCACATTATGGCAAAGCACAACCCAATTATAAACATGTAACTAACTACCTAGATTACAAGGCAATAACATGAGACCACTCACCCAATATTTGTGCACTTGAATAAAATTTTGGTGTCGAAAAGGATAGCTTCATGGTTCGGCAGGAGTTGACTATGTTGTAGTCGAAGTCTGTTCGAGCATAATCTCAAAATATATTAACTTGTAATTTAAGTTAGTATGTTGAATTGTGCCTTGCTTATAAGCTTAGTTATTAAGTTAGCTTGTATGCTAAGTTAGCTTAGTATTTTATAAATAGACCAATTCTCTCAGGTTGTTGAGAGAGGTTAATGGTTTGTATTCACTTGAAATCTTTAAACCCTTATTGAGAAAGTGAATAGTAAAATAGATTTAACTAATTATTATTCTTCTTCCTTCTTCTCTCCCTTTTGTAAAACCTAATAGGGTTTCTTGTGTTTTTTCAAGAAACTCAATCTTTTTCTTATATTTTGGTTTGTTCTTGAAGACATCAATTCATAACAAACTAGTGCGGTGAGCATGGAGAAGAAGATCTCGTCAACAAAGTATGAGATTGAGAAATTTACCAGTGCGAATGATTTTGGTTTATGGCGCTTGAAGATGAAAGCTCTTATTGTTCAATAAGGTTTGTTAGAAGCATTGAAAGGATCAAAGATGATGGATGTTGTCCTAACAGAGAAGGAGAAGATAATGATGGTTGAAAAATCTCACAGTGCCATTGTGTTGAGCCTTGGTGATAAGGTTCTTTAACAGGTTTCAAAGGAGAAAGTTGTAGCTGGTGTATGGATGAAATCGTTGGTTAATCGTCTCTACCTGAAGAAATCTTTGTATTCATCCAGGATGAGTGAAGACAAAGCCCTGGCTGAGCAGTTAGATATGTTCAATAAGTTTATTCTTGATTTTGAAAATATTGAGGTTAAGATTGATGATGAAGATCAAGCATTATTGTTGTTTTTCTCTTTACCTAGGTCTCAAACTTACTTCAAAGAAACTCTCTTGTATAGAAGAGATTCATTGACCTTTAAAGATTTTCAATCTGCCTTGTACTCTAAGGATTTGAACAAATGAAAGAAGCACAATCCATCTTCTATTGGTGAAGGTTTATCTGTTAAGGGGAAATTCTTGAAGAAAGATGATAGGTTTGAGAAGAAGAAGGGTAAAGTTCTACAGAATTCTTATGATGGTAATGCTCATAATATTAAGTGTTATAATTGTAAGAAGGAAGGTCATACAAGAAAATTATGCCCTGATCGACTGAACAGTCATGGTGGAGAGGATAATGGTAATGCAGCCATTGTGCAAGATAGTTATGAATCATCTGATGTGAAATTCTGGTATCAGATATAAGATGTCGAAGGCGATGTTACGACACTGATATCTATTATATCACCAATAAGAACAAAGACAACAAGTATAACAAAAGTAAAAATAACACAAGTAATTGTTAACCCAGTTCGGTGCAAACACACTTACGTTTGGGGGCTTCCAAGCCAGGAAGGAAATTCACTAAATAGAATTAGTTTGAAGATACACAGTAGACTCTCTCTAGTTTACCATCTTCACACCTAATCTCTACCCTTGTAATTTCTACCTAAGACACTCCTAGATATGAGATACGTCTCACTCCCCCTCAATCACAGCAGTGATAATAACAAGTTAATAATACTTTAGAAGACACTCTTCAAAGACAAATATTAATCTTGCCTAAAAGCTTCAATCAAGTACAAGACACTCTTGCGTACAAGCTTTGAGTGAATACCTTACAATACAAAAATTAGTCCAATTCACACATTAAAGTAACGAGTGAATGGCTCACACACTATCACAAACACACAAATGCTAAAAGCATTAATCCTTATGCAATACACAAAATTAAACCTAGCTTCTCTGAATAGTAAACTAGGGTTGTGAATCCTTAAATACAACACCTAGACGGGCTTGGGCTTTGGCAAAAATAACATCTGATAAACATCAATGAAACATATTTGGTTTGATTCAATCAGCTCAAATCAAATCACTCTTCAGATCTTCAAGATTTTCTTCAGAAAATAGCTTCACTTGATTCCAAAAATATTCCACAATATATGCATTAAAAACGCTTTTGAATAACAACTAAATCCATGCATATTTGAACCATAAAAGACAGATCATAGCAACACAAAGAGTTGCACAAAAGAAAGAGACAAATAAACACATTCTCACAGAATGTTTTGTTCATAAATGTCAGGACATCATGCTTGACATCATGAACTGATTCCTGCAATAACAACCATAACTACCTACAGAATCTTAATAACATATGTCAAGACATCTTGTAGGACACCTTGTGATACTACCAAGTTTTACCAAAATGCCTGCCAATCAGGAACAACAAACTGCCCCTTTGGCAAATTTTGGCTAAAATATTCACCAAATCACAAGAGCTCCTAAAAACAGAGAGCACAACAGAAAAAAAAACTTCAAAAAAAAAAGGAGTAAGCGCAAACTCCCCGTCAACATACTAACCAGCAATTCTTTAAGACACATAACAACCCAACCATTCAGCAACCTGTAGCCCAAACAATCATCAACCTGTAATCACAAACACTCCCTCACCATAACAAACACATCAACATCCAGTAGGGATGAACAACAACAACTTCACACCTACCAAACATCTCCCCCTTTTTAGCCATAAATTGGGAACATAAGCTAAGGGAAATTAAGTATCATAGATTAAATAACCAGAGCCAAGATAAGTTAAGGGTATAAACACCCAATTAAAGTACAAACCTGTAGCACCATAAGTGCAAGAAAAAGCACCATAACAAAGCAGCAGCAGACATAACAGAGCAATCAAAAAAAAAGATCACAAAATTCAAATAGAATTAATCATCTTCTTCAGATTCAGTGTTCTCATCTTCACCAGCATCACCAGCCCCAGAATTATCATCAGCCTTTTCTACTGACCCAGAACCTTCCTCATGTTCTTCTTCAACTCGTCTCCTTACCGGCCGAAGATGAATGGCGCCGTTGAAGCGACCAATAAGAACATAAAGAAGATTGTTCAGAAGACGGTTGTAACCTACAAAGATTGGCACGAGATGTTGCCATTTGCACTGCACGGTTATCGTACGACGGTACGTACGTAAACCGGGGCAACTCCTTTCTCCTTGGTGTACGGTATGGAAGTTGTCCTACCGTTAGAAGTGGAGATCCCTTCTTTGCGAGTTTTGGTTGACGTGAAACTCGATGAGGCAGAATGGATTACGAACCGACTGAACCAACTCAGCCTGATGGACGAGAAGAGGTTAGCATCGATTGCGCATGGTCGTCTGTACCAAAGCCGAATGAAGAAAGCTTATGATAAGAAGGTGCGTCCTAGAAGCTTTCAGACGAGTGATCTCGTCCTGA